ATCGTAAACTTAAGTTCTAATCGAATTAATTTTAAATATTAATTTTAAATTAATATTTAAAATTAAAAAATTTTATTTCCTAATTTTAAATTAAGAGTTTCTTATCTTCTTATTGAACACACTTAAGAAAAATTTCTATTTCCATCATTATTTTTCTTTGAATATCAATTTGGTATTAGAATCCATCTAGAGGATGAAAATAAAATAAACTTTTCATTAAATTTAGAAATAGATAATCTAGCATAGTTTCAATTTCTTTATAAACAAGTTTCAGTCTTTGCGGCAAATATTGTGCTAGTTTAACGAAGACACGTCTAGAGATAAAATTGTTTAAGCGTAAGCAAAGAATTGCTTAAATCCCAGTTAAAAGAGCAACTGCCTGAACAATAGATCTTTGTTCAAGTTAGATACAAAGAATATTGCAGTATTTCAAAATAGTTTAAATTGTATGGTTATATCCATAATTAATATTTCAGTGAATATTTTATTAAAATATTAATTATAATTTACAGCATATCCCGTAGATCCAGTTTGTTTATCTTTTGTTTAAATCTAGAAGACTAGATTATAACAAAGGATGAACTTGTGTATAAAGGATATACTGGATATTTTTGTAAAATGAAAATTTATAGTATATAAGTAGGTATGGCCTTACTTTGGGCAGACAGCCACATCCGGTCCAGACACCTAATTCCAGGAACCCAATCAGATAAGAACATGTAAAATACGTTAATAAATAGTAATAAACAGGTTTGAGCCGCGGTGAACCGCTTTAAAACAGAAATAAACAGGTCTAAACAAAAAATGAACAGGTCTGTTGTTTTAAACTAAAAGCTCTTCAAAGCAGTTCAAAAGCGGCTCACCGCGGCTCAAACCTGTTTATTACTATTTATTAACGTATTTTACATGTTCTTATCTGATTGGGTTCCTGGAATTAGGTGTCTGGACCGGATGTGGCTGTCTGCCCAAAGTAAGGCCATACCTACTTATATAACATCAAAAGTTAATTAGACGTATCTGTAATAAAGAACATTTTTTTTAATGAGATCAGTATACTTTAAATATTTTTTTAACATTTATAGACTAAAACGGTGGGACAACTTTAATAATACATATAAATGAAAAGTAATCTTGATGATTTGTTTTTGAATTTACATAAAAATTATCAATAAGAAATAAAGTTTAAATGTTTTTTTTAAGAAAATCAAATTTTTGTGACACAACTCTGTAAAATCGATTTATATTTATACTAAATGCCTTTAATGATATACAAATTGAAAAAAAAACATTAGACTCTATAAACTCTCTTATCTTTTTGGGGGCAAAAAGCAGTACCTTTGTTTCCTCAGGGTTAATTTTCAGAGAGTGGGTTGAGGCATATTCTGATTCTTGTTTATGAAAAAATGCATTCTTCATAAAAATGTTTGCTTGTTCTAAAATGGTTAATCTCATTTATACATTTTCAGATTTCCATACCGTTTTAGAGAAAATTAAGAATATATTATCATCATATGCTTGACGTCCAATGAAGTCTATGATACGATTGATGAAGTCAAAAGGCGTTTCTTATGGTAATATCATTTCGATTACCTACATTCTTTGATAGATGGTTATTATTAAGTTTGATTAACGTCATATTCTTTGCTGTTGTTAATATCATTCGATAACTATAATCACCCTTACCGTAGCATTAAACTAAATAAATCTATTAAAGAATCAAAGCAAATTTATATTACCATAGAAACACATTTTTTAAGACGATTTTTAGACATTAGGACTAGGATTTTTAGTAAAAAATTCAACTATATTTTCATGTTAACGGGATTAACCCTTTTAGAACAAACAAAAATGTTTATAAAGAATGCATTTTTCTCAATATCAATAATAAAAAAGATTTTCATCTTGTAAAGACAACCCGGGGACATATTATGTACAGGGTGTCCCACTAAGAATAGCTCTCGGCTGTATCTCGGAAAGTGTTAGCCGTAGCGGCTGCGGAAAAAATATTTATAACTAAAGAGGCTATGGGAAATAGCTGGAAATTATTTTCAAGTTTGTAGAACGACCGCTAGGGGGCGCAACTGCAACAAAATATAAGAAAATGAAGTTTTTACACAATTTTGCCTAGATAAGGTGTACTATAAGTAACAGCTTCATAATCTTCAGTAAATTTTGAATATTTTTTGTTCAAGCCATTTTCCTCTACCTACCAAAATAAAGTGGTGGGGAAGGTTAGATCTGTTTTTATTTGAATATTAATAACTGTCGACTGGATGATCGGAATACAACAAGCGGGGGCTCGTTTAAATGAGCGTTTCTTACTCTATATTGTACCATATAAATAATAATAATAAGCTTTTGAACGTAGACGCTAGGGGGCATTGTCTTACAATTTAACAAACATTGCGCGTTTTTTCAAAAAAATTAAATGCAATAGTATATGTAATTTTAGCTGATAATAAAGAGTAGTAAAAGCTTAAAGAGTCAGCGAAAACCGCATCTTGATATCTACTTTCAAGCTGAAGATATTAATAAAATTATAATAAATACCAAAAAATAAGTTCTTAATACCTTATTTTTACAACACGGCCCTCTTGATTATGCCCATTCCAACCTAAAAATAAGATAGAAACAGTTAGTTTATTTTAAAATCGACGATATATACCCGAATATCATAATATCAGATGTATTAATATCTAATAATTAAGATATTATAATAATAGTGAACAAGAAACGATGATTCAGTGAAGTCATGCTAGGCTATGGAAAAAAGTTGCTATTGACGTAATATTATAAACGTCAAATTGTTATTAGATCAACATTTTGATAGTCTTAGCAGCATTTTTTATCTTTTGATTGCTTTTTTAAAATGCCAACAACTTCAACTAATTCAAATAATAAAGGCATTTTGAAAATGCATTTAAAAGATAAAAAAAACGCTGCTAATGCTATCAAAATGTTGATTTAATAACAATTTGACGTTTATACTATTACGCGAAAAGCAACTTTTTCCCAAAGTCTACCATGACTTCACTGAATCATCGTTTCTTGTTCACTATTATTAATATCTTAATTATTAGATATTAATACATCTGGTATTATGGTATTCTGGTATTTCGTCGATTTTAAAATAAACTAACTGTATCTATCCTTATTTTTTTGTTAGAATGGGCCTAATCAAGAGGGCTACTGATACTGTATTGTAAAAATAAGGTAATTAAGGGCTTATTTTTTGGTATTTATTATAATTTTGCTAATATGATTCAGTGAAGTCATGGTAGGCTATGGAAAAAAGTTGCTATTGACGTAATAGTATAAACGTCAAATTGTTATTAGATCAACATTTTGATAGTCTTAGCAGCCTTTTTTATCTTTTGATTGCTTTTTTAAAATGCCAACAACTTCAACTAATTCAAATAATAAAGGCATTTTGAAAAAGCATTTAAAAGATAAAAAACGCTGCTAATGCTATCAAAATATTGATTTAATAACAATTTGACGTTTATACTATTACGCGAAAAGCAACTTTTTTCCAAAGCCTACCATAACTTCACTGAATCATCGTTTCTTGTTCACTATTATTAATATCTTAATTATTAGATATTAATACATCTGGTATTATGGTATTCTGGTATTTCGTCGATTTTAAAATAAACTAACTGTTTCTATCTTTATTTTTTTGTTAGAATGGGCCTAATCAAGAGGGCTACTGATACTGTATTGTAAAAATAAGGTAATTAAGGGCTTATTTTTTGGTATTTATTATAATTTTGCTAATATCTTTGGTTTGAAAGAAGATATCAAGGTGCGGTTTCGCTGACTTTTTAAGCTCTTACTACTCTCTACTATCAGCTAAAATAACACGTACTGTCGTATTTAATTTAAAAAAAAACGCGCTGTTTGTTAAATTGTAAGAAAGCGCCCCCTAGCGTCTACGTTCAACACCTTATTATTATTATTATTTTTATGGTATAATATAGAGCACGAAACGCTCTTTCAAACGAGCCCTTATTTGTTGGATTCTGATCATCCAGTCCGGAGTTATTAACATTTAAATAAATATAGATACCTTCCCCCACCACTTTATTTTAGCAGATAGGGGAAAATGGTTCTAACAAAAAAAAATCCAATATTTACTGAAGATTATGAAGCTATTATTTATAGTACCCATTATCTAGGCAAAATTCTGTAAAAAAAATATTTTCTTATTTTCCATAGCAGTTGCGCCACCTAGCGGCCGTTTTATAAACTTGAAAATAATTTCCAGCAATTTCTCATAGCCCCTTTAGTTATAAATGTTTTTTCCCGTAAGCCCTACGGCTAATACTTTCCGAGATACAGCCGAGAGCTATTCTTAATGGGACACCCGGTACATATAGTAAATAACATGCACATCTATACTAACAATAAATAACATCTCTTTAAAAAAATACATCGAATAGAACAGTAAAAGAAAATATACATTAACATAATGGATAAATAAGATAGGGATGCCCCCGCCCCCCTTGAATCCAATTTAAACAAAAATACCGCACTGCGTAGAATAAATAACACATTACCTTAGTAACGTCTAGAGGTTGTATGTATTATCGATAACTATTTGAACACATAAATATTTTTTTAAATAGAATACAGTTATATACTAATATTTATTAACCAAATTTAGCACACCATACATATTATAATTTGGAAAAAAGTTGTGTCTTGAAAAAGTGTTTTTATACAAAGTAATACAAAGTAAATAGTGATTTCAAAAATAAATAACATTGGAATATCGGGAGAAACTGACAAACTTCTAACCTATTAAATAGCTATTGTAAATTTTAAATTGACTGAAAATTCTCTAGTGCTTAAACAATTTACACAGCTTTCTACGAATAATTAACCATCATGGTAAGTTACAAGAACATTTTATAGCGAGATAGAAATTTGCGATTCTTGGTTTACTAAATAAACATTTTCGCCAAAAGAAGTTGAGAAAACTTAATTAAAATACTTACTCTAACTGAGCTCTGTAGGTCCCAATCAAGACGGTCGTTGGAAGAAGATAGCATGAAAAGAAAAAAAAATCATTAGTAAAGTTGTTAACATAATAATAAGTCAAGAGTAAAAGATAGCATTATTGTTTTAAATTTAAATAATTCTTCTTAGAGAGTGATACATCGATTTCTAATATCGTAAAAATATATAAGGATAGTTGAATATACCATCAACAAATAAACTAGTTTAGATAAATATTAATAGTTTATTTAAAACTGTCCTAATATTGTAAATAGGCTAAATAGAATAGTATTGTAATATCGTGAACAGAAATGTATCTAAGTAATATATTATGTTCAAAAAGAGACGCTATATTATAGGGTAAAAGAAAGTTGCTCATATATAGTATAATCAAAATTCTATGACGAAGCCTCTATTGTAGCTTTATTGTAACTGTATATAAATAGAGGAAGAGAGAGAACTGAGAAAATTTCATCTTATATGCTGGGTTTTGTTGAAGAAACATAGGGTTTTTGGTTCATTTAAAGTTATCGAACTGGCTAAATTACCGCCGGCGGTATAGACAATTGACGGAAAAAGATCGAGGTTAGACGGTTTTACATATTATTTATAATATGTAAAACCGTCTAACGTTCTTCACAAAGTTGAAGAGGTAATATTTTGGCCAACTGTATAACCACAGATTATACAGATTATAAACTTATCGTCAAAAGCATTGTTTTTCGTGGTTCCAATTTTCGGAGTCGCGCACTAGTTAGGTTACTAGTTTGCGCACAGGCACGCTCACTTATGGCATCTAAAATTGTGCACAGCGCCTGACCGGCCCAGTTATTACGCTGTTTAAACGGGAGTTAATTTTTGCGCATAAGAAAATTTACTCGTTTGCTCATCGTCATAAAAAACAATTTTCGTACCACGAATTAGGGACAAGATTTTTATCTGTATACTTATAGGATACCTAATCTGTGGTATAACAAACAATTTAAATAAAATAAAGAAACCTACGTAGTGTTAAAAAACATTTTTTATTGTAATTTACCTCAAATACGCTCCATAGAAGCAATATAGGAAATTTGAGGAGAATAGGTTATGTAAATCAAACGCTAAATATAAGTACACTAAACAAGACCCTTATTGTCGTACTAAGTCATACTGAACCAAAAACATCGGCACGAATGGACAGTAAACGATTGCATTTAGATTTAATTTTAAACTGAAAATTATTCACAGCATAATCGAATTCACTAAATACATAAACACGTTTTACAATATAATTCTCAGATGAAATAAATCAGAAAAAGCTTTAACACAGAATATGTTAACAAGAAAATAAAATATATATCCTTTTGTTAACACTAGTTAAATAATGGGAAAACACGTTTACTTTACCTTTAATAACATTATTTGTCCCACAATCTTACAAACCAAAAAAACATCAATGCGTATCGAACGGTAGTCTAAAAGCAATAACCGTTGCTATTACCTAACATCTATTATCGCTGTTATTTTTTGTCTCTCTCCCTAGTTTGCGAATAATATTTTAAAAATCAATAATTTTATTTACGTATACAGAGTGTTTTAAAAATGCACTCCCCCGGAAAATCATAACAGTGCTATAAATATCGGAGAAGAACTATTGGAATATGTATCGGAATTTAATTACCTCAGCGGTTTGATTTCGGAAAAGGCAAATATCGACTCTGAAATTCAGCACAGAATCAGCTGCGCCTCAAGAGCGTTCTGGAAATTAAAAGACAGGTTTTTCTACAATCATGACTTGAGCACAAAAACGAAACTTGCAGTGTACCGACCAGTAATACCATGTTATATGGAAGCAAAACCTGGGTTTGCGCATTAAACAAGTTGCAACAGAGCCTCAAACGTATCAGTCCTTCAAAAAGCAAGCTGCGAAAGCGCTGAAGTCATGATTACTAAATCTCGCTTAAGATGGGCTGGCCACGTATGCAGGATACAAGAAAACCGCCTACCGAAATCTCTTCTTTACGGTGAACTTGTAGAAGGTAAGAGGAAACCGGGTGGACAACTCAAAAGATACAAGGATGTTTTTCATGAAAACTTAAAGGGGATAAGTATGCAGCATAAGTGGGAGGAAGCAGTGCACAATAGAACGCAATGAAGGAGAATTGTGAATTCTGATAATAACGACAACCAAAAAGTAAAAAGGCAACAAAGTAATGAGATTTTTGAATGTCGTGAGTGCGGAAGAAAGATAACATCACGTATCGGGCTTTTCAGTCACAAAAAAGCTGATGACAGGAAACGCCTTGCGTAACCATCTTCTGCTGCGTGTCAAATACTCGTCAGCGAGTAATGGCAGTAAGTAAGTAAGTCTTAAAAATGAATGTTTTCAATTTAAAGAAATATGTTTATTTTTAAATAGGCGGTTCATCTCAATACTTTGGCCTTTGAAATAACAGTCAATGATAATTCCTGTCAGGTCGACAATTAATTGTGAAATCTATTAAAAAATGGCATTCATATTGAATTCCAATTTCAATGCAATAACGCGTATATTTTAATTATATACTTATTATACAATATTATATTAAAATTAGCAAGTTTAAATATTATGGAATTTTGATTTGCTAAACTCTGGATATCGCTTTTCAAATAATTTGTGCCAATGTGTGTTGGCAGGCTTCCAAAATAACTCAGCTAAAATTACATTGCTCTGGTGCTAGAGCTCTAATCATATCTATCGTAAAATACTGACATAATAATCTCATAATTGTACATAAAATTTGAACTGTGAGCATAATAAAAACTAGACAGATATATACAAATATACGGCTCAAAATATGGCTATAAAATTAACACATTATGACTGAATGGAGCTGAATGGAATGTTAAACGTTAAAATTGAAAACCAAAATCCAGTATTTTAAATACTTTTTTCTATTTTTTAATACTTAACTCCCACTTCTTTCTCAAAAGTGGCTCACCCCTATAATTTTTTTAATGTGTCAGATAAAAAACGACATTCAATTATTTTTGGTCACTTCAGCTTCATTCAGAACCTCGTACTTAGTGGAATAAATTACTGGTTTCAATTAGCGTAGAAGTTTGTTCCTTTAATTTGTAATTGAAACTACTAATTTATTCCACTAATTGGAAGGTTCTGAATGAAGCTTTAAGTATCAAACTTTTGACTTTTCCACTAATTATACTTGCGACATGTCATTTTGACCATTGATTATCTTCCGGCAAGAGAAATTGTGGTTAGAAATCAAAAGCTGATTGCTTTACCAGCTAAATTTTAGGCTTTCTCTATGGATACAACTGACTAACGCAAGCTGTTGCTAAGATTCTATTAATATTAATTGTTTTTTAAACATTATGAGTGATCGTAAACTAAAAAGTATAAAGTGTAATTGAAACCACTAATTTATTCCACTAATTTATTCCACTAATTGCGAAGTTCTGAATGAAGCTTTCCTCTTTAACCGGAAATGACTACAACTTTTGATTTTCAAATAAAATTCTCGGTATTTTTTACTTTATTCGATAGAAACTGACACTCTGAACAGAATGACATCATATGTCAACTTTTGACAGCTTTTGACAACTTTTTGACATTTCCAGTTAAAAAATGGCATTTAAATTTCAATCTAGAGTGACATGGTCATAAATTTAACGATAATTTGACTCGAAATATCACGTATCTTAAAAAATGCTTTTTACAAATATGTTAATGAGCCACCATTTTTCAATAAAAATTCATTTCGATAAATTGAGATATGATTAAAAATACGATTTGGGTAAGTTCATTTTTCCAAGTTACTTTTTTAATTTAGTCAAGGTTTGTGCAAATTATAACCTCATCGTAAAACATTTAAATAAAAACAAAACGGAAAAAATAGACAGACATAAATTAATAAAATATTTGTTTTTGTATGTATTATAAAAATGTGGCATGCACTATTGATTAAAAACCTGAAAAAGAATGAACGGATTGATGGATTTTAACCTCTATTGTGCCGATTCAAATTTCATACGCGAAATATTGAAAGTGATGGATGATGCTTTGTAATATCGAATTATTTTGTTATACATTTTTATTGTAGTGTTGCATACAAAAAATCATTATTCAGAAATAACAATTAAATTCAGCGCACTGTTTTGAACAACACGTCAAATGACGATATAAAACGATATAAAATTTAAACATTTATTTTTGAACGTAATTTTTGGTATATTGTTTATAGGCGATGCAACTTTCATTACTAGAGCTACAGTAAAAATCATAGGCGTTATTCACATTTCCATATCTGACAATATATTAGTAAATAAGTGCAAATATTTTTAGAGGTAGTAAAAAAACATTTGGATCCCAAAAACACTATGATTTTTTTAGTGTTTAGTTAAAAAAAGATAATAACATAGTACTAGATTAAATTTTCAAGAAAGAAAACCCAGAAAAAATCCAGGGGTTCTCAAAATTTAAGCAAGAATTCTTTTTTTTTAATTTTCAAAGTAAAATAACAATAACACAATTATTTTGGACCTATTTGAAAAACGGTAAAGCGAAAATATTTGCACTTATTTAAGACTCGCCCTGTATATAAGAACATTTTAGTATTTCCATTTCCATTTAAGTATTTCCAATAACATTTTATATCTATAATGTAATTATCAAACTAAATTTATTTTGAAAAAAACCTCCCAAAATATTGATTCTTCTGGATAATCGTGTCCCGTCAAATTATGGAAACTTAGATGAGAAGGAGAGAATATTGTGTGTTATTCAATTTTGCAATAACTGACCGTGGATAATTATTTAGATCATCTCTCTATTCTCTACATACAATATAATTTTTACATAAATTTACATTTTAATTTCTAATTATGTACTCACTTTGAATGTAGTAGACATAATTCAATAGGTATTAAACCTAAAAGAATTTGGGACTTCTATTGTTTTTGTTTACTTCAAATTATATAATAGCTCGCCAAGGGATGGAAAACAATAAAAAAACAAACGATCTAGCTA